TAACACAAAGATAATAATTTAATGATTAAGCTTCAACTTTTAATTTGGTGGCAAAGTCTGAAGACACTGCAGGTATGGCAGGATGAATTGCATTTAAACAGGAATAAAAGTAATTTATTACATCTACTCAAATGTGTGTAATTAAGTATTTTACATGCGTGTGTGTGTGCGTGCGTGTGTTTAATTGCTCTTTTAGCTACTTTTGCCTGAATCTAACGCTGTAAGTGAAACAAGGCATTTCTTGAGTTGCTGTAAATTATGCTATAAAACATATTTACTCTCTCATTACAGAAAACAACAACAACAAACAACAACATCCTTCATGATGGACAGACATCATGGACACCACAGCAGCAGCTGTCTTCACTGAAACATCCTGAACATGATCGTCACTGACACGAGGCCTCTGTCCATGGTTGAAGACGAAGGCTTCACTACAATAATCCACACTTTTAATCCAGGTTACAATAATCCACACTTTTAATCCAGGTTACACTCTTCCCTCAATGACAAATTTTACAAAGTAGCTACATACTGTGCAGGTATAAAGATACATTTGTATATATTTTTGTGTACATTTATTTTTTTAAGCTATTTGACTAACTTTTATATTTTATTATTCAATATTTTACTAACAGAATAGTAAAATAGCAACCTGTTTTTTGTGTGAATTGCTATGTCAGTCAAATGTTCAATTTTGGAATAAAGGGGTGGAAATTAAAACGTTGTGGGTTTTTTTGCCGATTCATCGATTAATCGAAAAAATAATCGGCCGGTGAATCGATTATTGAAATAATCGTTAGTTGCAGCCCTAATTAGCACCATGAGAACAAGTAGCATCATGAGCACAAGTAGCATCATGAGAACAAGTAGCATCATGAGCACAAGTAGCATCATGAGAACAAGTAGCACCATGAGAACAAGTAGCATTATGAGAACAAGTAGCATCATGAGCACAAGTAGCATTATGAGAACAAGTAGCACCATGAGAACAAGTAGCATTATGA